CTTAAATAGCAAATATCCTATAAATCTTCAGTGTTTTTTTTTTTTTTTGGTTTAGATTTTAAACAGCAGTTCCCAAGTTGTGTTGCACATTAGCATTAAGAATGTAATTCTGATGCCTGTGTTGCATCCCATTCCAGTGAAATCACAATATTGTGGGTGGGAATCAGGAATTTGAGTTTTTAAAGGTTCCCTAGTAATTCCAATGTGCAGCAAAGTTGAGGGATCACTGGTTTAGAGCACTTTTATTTCCAGATATTTAATTATAACAGCAGTGTCTCTGTGAGAGAAGCAGGACAGGAATTTCTCCTCATCCTCACCTTTTTTGATAACAGAAGTCACAAGAAGTTAAGGATCATAATCAAGGTCACACATTCATATTAGGTTCCAGGCAAGTGCCACTCCTTTGAATTTATTTAGGTCACACCCAGCATATCAGACTGGATGCTGGAAATGGTGGGATAAGAGATTGGATGGGGTAGGGATGGGGAGGAGCTGGGATTGAAAACCCAGTGGATGGATCATGGGCCTTGTGTCTGAGAGAGAAACACGGAAACCACATCAGTGTTGTGTCTCCTGCCCTCCAATCAGGGTTGTTTCTATCTGAAGACTGCTGGTCTACATTTCATTACAGAGAGAATGGAATCTTTGTCACAGCCTAAAGCTTGTCTTCAGACTTAATGTCAATTATTTGTCTCCTCTTATTTTCAAACAAGTCCTCCCCATGCATTCTAAGGCTGTCTCAAACATTCCCTCCTTTGGTTTTCTAGTTTCCTCGTTCCTGGATCAGCAGGTAGGAGACAAACTTGCCATTTTCTAGAATTGTGCTACTGGCCAGAGGGCTACTATAGGGTCCAGAAATATATGGTGAAAGGTTTTGAGCAAGATGGTGACTTATACAATTATGGATTATTATTGAAACAAACAGTTTACTAATAACTGGACTTCATTGAGGCTTCAGGGTTCATTTACTAGAAACTTAGCGGGAAGGATAAAGGGAATTATCCAAAATTCCCCAAATACCACCAACTCAAGACAGTTTTCTTTTCACCATCTGGCATGATTGAGTAATCCTACTGAACATATGAGATGAAGTAAAAACACATTCCTACCAGCTCTACAAATATGGAAAATAAGCCAAGCCTTCTCTTCCATTGTAGGTAGAAAAGTGTGGACTGGGGGACCCTGGAGGTCATACTCTATACTACAGGGAACTTGGAATGATGCACTGAAATTCTGAGATCCCATGGTAGGTCTTAGAAGAAGTAAGATGCTTTCACTTCCAATTTTTTTTTTAATGACTATGTGAAACTCTCAAGGTTAGAGAACTATTTGAGCATTACTTCTTCCCTAGCCGCAGAAAAATGACACTGAATTCTCCTAAGAATGTATTGTCATGAAAGATTTTCACTAAGACAATAAAAGGGACTCTGTCAGGCCTGGATCAGAGGTTTGACAAAAGCTAGCTTAAAAAAAAAAAGAGTATGGGAAGAAACCAAGACAGCGGCATAGGTAAACACACACTGCCTCGCACAACCACTTCAAAAATACAATTAAAAGACGGAACGGACATCATCCAGAACCACAGGAAGGCTGGCTGAGTGGAAATTCTACAACTAGAAGGAAAGAGAAAAGCATATTGAGACTCAGAGGAGGTTCAGTGCAGAAGTAAAATACTAAGGTACAGAGGCGCACACGGAGCAGGCTGGAGGCTGAGGGTGTGGTTGTTGTTTTCAATCGGGAGGGAGTCTCAAGCTCTGAGCTCCAGGTCTGGACAAGGCACTGGGGAAC